TATTCTATATTTAGCATGTAACAACGATTAAAAAACAAAACTAACATATTTTCCCTATGTAATGTATAGTATTTCTCCCTCAACAGTAGATTGTGCCAGATATTAATATTGTTCTAAAACTTGAACAAAGCCCATCAGGTGTAGAACGCAGATACGAACATAAAAAGCTTAAAAAACTAACATATTTCCCCCTTTAAAATATATTTTCCACCAAAAAGTAATCATGACCACACAACATATCTCCCCAAAGCTATAAAAGTGTTCCTACAGGTTTCTTCAACTTAAATTTAAGTCTGTTTAAGATCTTTCTAAAGCCATATAGAAAATTAATACCTATTTCACAGCACTATCAGCAAAATAAATAAATAAATCAAATTAAATTATTGAACTAGTTTTCATTTATTTTACCTATATATCTTTACCAATATATTTTGACAAAACACTGGGTGGGCACTTGGTAGAAGATCGGTTATATTTTTAAACAAATGGTTAAAAATATAACCGGATCTCTGGTTTTACATTAGAACCTTAACGATAATTTTTGTTGCCTATAATTTAGTTTAATTTTAAGAAGGTTTTTTTATTGTTAATTTTATTACCCTAATTTCTTGCAGTATTTCTATTGTATAAAAGCAACAGTGCAAACAGTAAAGACACAAAATTGAAATAAATGTCTAAAAATAGCCTTTATTAATACTAATTCTTCTCTTGGTGTCATCACTTGTTTGGAATATTTTGATGAACTTCAGAAGAAAAATGCAGTACAGAAAACTTACATCCAACACAAATTTTAAGACCCAGATGCCAAAATTGAAGGGTTTCTCCAGTCTTTTAAAGGTATTACTTTCAAATTCATAAATTCAATGCTTTTAAGACTCCTCGGGAACCCTGTAAACATTTCTCCTCAAAAGTAAGTCGCCCCGCATATGTAAAATACGCTATATGTAACATCTAAAACTCATAATGGAAAAGAAAAACCCTTTTATTTCCAAGTTTATAAAACGTTCGCCCAACATTAGTCCTCGATATTGTTAAAACAGAGAAAGAAAAATCCTAGCGTACCTCCATTTTGGCAGCTACTTCCTTTCCTCTGTCCCAGCTACAGCATTGCACACACACACAGCACAGCGGTTTCCCGGTTCCATTGAGAGAGGCGCAGGAGTCAAATAGTTGTCTCCGCCCACCTATAAATGTTTGATCCCGCCCACATTTAGCCCTGCCCCAATCTCCGGGAGGCAGCCAGGGGTAGTTGGAAATTCCCAGAACACCTGCTAATTACTGGAATGGCTTGGACTAATTTGTCAAATGCTCTTCAAACCAGCATGACCCGGTTCAAACGCCATCCCAGTTCAAACTCTATCAAGTTGGTGAAAGAGTAACATGTAAAAACATTTAACTACAATACTAAGCTACTAGAACTAAATAACTGTAATACTAGAAGTTTTGCTGGAACTCTGACTCAATGCTAATGCTAACTACATCACAACTCACTTGCGGCTAATCCAAGCCAAGACTGGTTGAGACTGCACTACACATGTCTACAACACTATTAGACGCTCATTTATGCTAGTTATCAGCTAAAAATAAGTAGATTTTGCTGTGACTTGCTCTTTAAGGCGGACCCAGGTGGTCTGATAATATAGCGTGAAACATAACATAAAGTTGATTGAAAATAATAATTGAAAAATATTATTAAAATCTTTTTTTTTTACAACCATGAACTTTATTACATATTTTGCTGTTGATTTTTTATTATCAGAAGGTTGACAATGATATACTGCAGGCCTAACTTTTTAGGCCTATAGACCTACTGATGTACAAATTTTCAAAATTAAAAATAGCCTACTATCAATTGTATTGTGTTTTACTGATGATAACTGCTTTTTTTAAAGGTATTTACTGGTTGTATTATTACGGTGGACCCTATTTTTAACATCTTGCTTCTGTAAAAATTAATGTTTTTTTTTTGCTTAAAGATCTACAGATTTATACTGTGAATTCCAATGTGCACAACCCCAAAAGATGTAGTTTTACTTGAATGATACCGTAAAATGTAAGGTTTTCAGACATTTTCAATGTTACAAAATTTAATTGTAAAATGTATGTATATTTATTTATTTTCACAGGAAATAATTATAACATCAACATTTTATTACAGTAAAAAACACAGTTTTATCCAGTCTCACAGTTAATGGTTATTGAATCTATGTAATACGGTAAAATGAAGTTTTTGGTTGTACACTCTATTACCGTTGGAATTTGACGGTGTTTTACTGTATATTTTACTGACTTTTTTTTACAGTGTATTACATTTATGTAATTTGTTCATAACTAAAGATTTGCCAAAAAAAAACTGCCAATGTCCAGTATGATTGGCCTAATCTGTAGGCTAGTTTGAAAATCCTTTTTCCCCCAAGTTTCAACTGCAACTTTGCCAAGCTGTTTCTTTTTCTTGCTCCATAAACGCTAGTTCATGCCAGTAGTCTGAGTTCTGCATGCTTCCAATTTTACCCATTTCAAACACCTGCCACATGTCTGACGTCGCCTAATGTTTCTCACCTTTATTCTGTTTTCTTTTATGTTATCCATTTTGATGTCGTATTTGCTAGTTAGCATCTCTTCTTCTTTTTATTTGGCTTATTCTTTGAAACTAAGCTTTCCTAACCCCAAGGGTGGGGTTTCACAGATCGGTTGGGATTGAAAGTATTTAATATTCATAAACAATAATAAATTATGTAAGTATTTTCCCACCCCCAACCCACCCACATTAAAGATACAATAGAATTTTACAGTGAAATAATCATAAAATAGTCTAATATCTCAATCATGTTGGAAGGAATGTTTCAATGAAACGGGTTTCATTCTCAGCTGGCTGGGTGGAGGCCAGTTTTGTTCCTTTTAAAAAGGCCAAAGAGGGACATAGTCATTGTTTACAATCTTTCACCTCCATAGAGCTTCGGATGTCACGTGACTCTCAGAGAGTAGGCGCCATGTTGGCAGGCAACAAAGGTAAACAAAATGAATAGGATCGGCTTGGATTTTACTCAGTCGGGAGTTTACTTCACACTTTAAAACCGAAGAAGTCGTTTTATATAGTCAGAAATTAAATAGACTAAACATCTCCGACCCTTACCATGCCCCTGGAATACTTTTTAAAAACGCCAGAAGCTGTCGGAGCGGACCTGGCCAGGGAACGCCTTGGGATTTCCCCAGAGGAGCTGGCCCAAGTGGCTGGGGAGAGGGAAGTCTGGGCCTCTCGACTTAGGCTACTGCCCCTGCGACCCAACTCCGGATAAGCGGATGAAAATGGATGGAAGGATGGACAAATAGCATAGATTTACATGTAAGTAGTTTAAATAGAGTGCTGTGCTGTTTGAATGTATAAACTGAACGCCAAGAGAAATCACTAGTCTTGATTTTTTTTCCGTGAATAAAATAAATATGTCGGGCAGGAGCGTCTCAGGATCAGTCTGAGATCTGTCTCGGTGAGACAGATAATAGCAATCTAAAGTGCTTTTTATGTGTGATCTGACAATTGATCAACCATTGCTTGAAAATTAAATACAGCTTAGCCGGTTAATTGCTGTGATCATAAGACACGTAAACGGCAGCTCGCAGAACTCACGAGGCAACGTTTTACGTGATGTTTACTTGTTGCTATGAGTAACAAGACAGAAAAAGCCATGCCAAAATAAGTTTAGGAAGCCCACTAAGAATCGTAATAAAAGCATTTAACATAAATACCATAAACAGTTGAGGAAACATTGGTTTAAGTACCTGATATGAAGTGGTCGCTGCATAAGCGAAAACCTTTACTTGGGACCCCACAGTTTCATTTTAGCCCGGTCACTAGCGCGTTTCATTGCAATGATCCAATTTTTGCTGCGTTCCGGATCTTGGGGAATCCTGTAGATGGCTCATCCCTTATGTCGTCCGTGTTTGTTCTGCATCCTGGAGCACAACAGGAATCTACCATATTTCCCATTTGATTGCGTTTTCTGACAATAACAAATAGTCCAGCTGCGGGCTTCTGTCTGCCAAGATGGCGCTGTTTCGATTCGAACTGATGCATGCCGGGAGAAGTGACGTCAACTCCCGGAGCTCTATACTTCCTGGTGCCAGAGATAATATTATTTTAGCCCGCAGAGTTGCAATATCTGTTGTGGAAATAATGTTTACCAGTTAAAGGAACAGTTCAGAAGTTATTTCTTGTAACCCTAAGAAGCTATATAAAGTTATATAAAATATAATGTTACTTCATGTGTCATGTGACGTGATGATACCACTGCGGTTCCATTTAACTGTTTTCTTGGCCAAGGAAGGACAGTGTCATCGTAAAAAAGGCGCCTGACCTCGCAAGACATCGCCTTTTGAGGCCAGGCGCCTTGACATTGAGAAACACCCTGTGATTTTTTTTCATACATGGATTGCAGTGCCCAAATTTGACCACAAGATGTTACTTTTACTTCATGCTCCTTTACAGAAACAAGTGCCCGGACCTGTGATATTTTAATTAGCCAAAGTATTTTTCCACCTCTGAAACCACTTTCACGCGAGTCACCTGTGGATACCTTCCCAATTGCAATAACAGCAGTAGCCGAGACAACAGTAGCTCAGGAAGTAGAGCGGGTTGTCCATTAGTCAGAAGGTTACAGATTCGATCCCGGCTCCCACCAGAGAACGCTGCTGTTGGGTCTTCGAGCAAAGACACAACCCGCTTTGCCTGCTGGTGGTGGTTGGAGGAACTGCCGCCAGTGTTCGGCAGGCCTCACCCCGGCTACATTGTAGCTCATCCCCACCAGCGTGTGAATGGATGAATGACTGATTGTGTTATGAAGCGTCTTGGGTTGTAGAATCCTAAGAAAGTGTTATACAAATACAGGCCATTTATCAATATCTGATTTTCTATGTGGAAATGTTTACTTTCAGGAGTGAAGTTCATAAAAATATAAATAAAAATAGATTTTCTGTTACTTATAATTCTTTAGTATAAATAACAATTAGAAGGTCAGAGCTGTATAAGTATTAGAAATTGATTTAGGCTCCCAAAACCTGAATCGGTGCATCTCTAGTCATCACCTTTCTACAGAAACACACTTCAGAAGATTGAGATGTCACTTTAAGGTGTTTAAAATCAGGACAAATGCTACCAGCTCATTGTTTTAAAAGCCTCAGATCCAGGTAAGCTCATCGGGTAAGATCCAGTAAATAGGTAGCGTTTGTGGTGTGGGTCAGATCCAGCCCCTCTGCTGCAGGGGCGGCAGTTTCCGCCTTCTCTCTTGGTCAGATTTAGTTTGATACCAAAACTAAATATGGAGCGACTCCTTTTGTCTTCTAATGAGTTATAAAATGCTATTTGTCCGCTGGCGGTTAACGTTACAGTTTAACGGAGATTTGTTTTCTTTCCACCTCCACGGTCCGCGGCTACTTCTTGGTGTCACAGAGAGAGGCAGTGCTGAGTTAAAGAGTCACAAATGCTGATAGAAATTCTGATAGAAAAAAAGCACCGATAGAGCGAGAGAGAGCGAGAGCGAGAGAGAGAGAGAGAGAGAGGGGCTGGAGACGTGATAGGAACGGTTCACTGGATTCTCAGAAATTCAAATCCCCCCCTCTCTCTTCATATGTATGTTTATTTCTTTTATATTCGTCGTTTTTCTTCGTCCGCTCGGATGACGGAAGGCTGCGGCTGAAGCGGAATTGTAACGGGAACATATTCCTCCCTCCGACGGAGAAGAAGTCTCGCAGAGATTTCATTTTTTTACCCCTCCCTCCTTTTTATTTTACAGTAGACTCAATCTGGTGTTATTTTTAAACCTCAGTCATCATCCCGAGTGTCTTTTTTTTTAAACAATTATTTTCGACCGATTCCACAAGGAAGGGTGACGGAAGATGGGTTGTTTGGGCAACAGCAAGACAGAAGATCAACGCATCGACGAAAAGGCACAACGAGAAGCTAATAAAAAGATAGAAAAGCAGCTACAAAAGGAACGACAAGCATATAAAGCCACACACAGGCTTTTATTACTCGGTAAGGCTGGTGGAAACGTGATGGCTATCTGAAATGTATGCTAGCCGACCGTTGGGTTAGCGAACACGTAGCCCCGTTTGACAGCGCTAGCTGTAATATGTCATGGGGGTGGATATTGATGGAAGCTCCGGAACCGACCAGAACCAACAGCCTTCGTTTCATAATAATGTCAAGAGAATGTCTTCAGCTTTGTTGTCGGCCTGGTTGTTTAATTTGTGGTGTATTTATTTATTTATTTTTTGTGTGTGTCGAAGGTGCGGGAGAGTCCGGAAAAAGCACCATTGTGAAGCAGATGAGGATTCTACACGTCAACGGCTTCAACGCTGAGTGAGTGCTATTCAGTACGCAACAGTAACGGCTCGAAATTACATTAATACTTATTTTCAATTTTATGGCTTCCATCTTTAATGAGTAACACCGTGGAGGCCAGCGTACGAGCCCGTTGAATGGATTTTCTATCCCCGGACACTGCAGCGCCTGTCGGGCCCAGTGTCAGTCCCCATGCTAATACCTTATTTACCCCCCTCCCTCCCTCCCTTTTAATACCATGTACAGCTGTAAGACCCATATGAGACTCTCTGTGTCACAGTGATGGCAGATAATTTCGTTTGCCTGCTCCATGCAAGGCTGTGGCGGTTGTGATCGACTCGGGCCTTATTGATGATTTGTTTTGCTGCAAGGGCCTGCATGGCATTGATCTTAACTGTGGTCTGTTTTAAAACGGGCCTACAACATGTCAAGAGTCCTGGATCAGGATGGAAATCCTCTTTTATGGAGACAGTTTAAAGTATTTGTCCAGGAGAAGGCAGGATCTAAAGCAAATTTCATATTTATTCACGTAAAAACCTGCCATCAAATTGCCTCATTACTATAATATTTTTAGGTTTGACATGAAGTATATCTTAACATTCAAAAGTTGTATTTGTTCCCAGTTTTGATGTGCACATCTTTAATACCCATGTTACATTTTTCTGTTTAATTCTGCCCTGAATGGGAAAAAAACTTAAGTATTTTGAGGGCAAGTGTTAGTGGCATTATATTTTAAATGGTGAACTTTTGTTTGAGAATGTCGAACATTTTGATTAATATGTGGCTAATTAACATCAAATGTCCTTTAATCACCTATGGATTAGACTTAAAGAGAAAACACAAGGATAGTTTACAAATGCAACCTCATCCTTATAATAAACGTCTATAAAATGACCGTCCAATCTGGTTTTATCTTGGTATTTTGACACTTTTGGTCATTTCCTGTGTCTGATGTTTTTCTACTCCCTGCATAACAACTCTGTTCTGTCTCCATGCAGGGAAAAGAAACAGAAAATACAAGATATTCGGAAAAACGTGAAGGATGCCATAGTGGTGAGTGTCATCTATGCTGCCCACCAAATTTGCTCAGTGACTGTTGTCACAGGGAACCTTTTTGTAATCCCATTTTAATGATTATTATACAAGCCTGTGAGCTTTTCTCTCTTCTTTTTCCTGGTTAATACCTGTTTTTTTTTCCTTTCCTGTTACTTCTGCTTTGTAGACTATAGTGTCTGCGATGAGCACTTTAATACCCCCAGTCCCGCTAGCCAATCCAGAGAACCAGTTCAGAATCGAATACATCAAAAGCATAGCACCACTCTCGGACTTTGACTATCCACAGGTAAGACATCTTATAAACTTTTCTATTTATTCATTTTCTTATTTATCTTTGCCTGTGTGGATGTCAGATGGCATGTGATGATCTGGGTTTGCTCTCTTAGTTAAATGCATGTCCAAAAATGTAGATCTAAGAGACACAGCTCAAAGTTTTTTTTAGCCGGAGCTTTGCTGTGACAGACTCAATGCCCCCCCCCCCCCCATGTTGGAGTGTGAATTCTTAAGAAGTGATGTTTGCATACTTTGGAGAACGGTGGTGATAAAGTAGAATTTCAGGTGTTTGTTGAGGATGTTGAAGCTGATACAGCTGGGAGGACATGGAATTTTTTTTCTGCGTGCGTGTGTGAGAGAGAGAGAGAGATCAGCTATTCAATAGCACAGGGTCCATCCATCCATCCATTGTCTGAACCCGCTTTGTCCACGGGACGACGGACAGTGCCTATCTCCAGCGGTTCATGGGCAATCAGGCAGGGTACACCCTGGACAGAGAGCCAGTCCATCGCAGGGCAACACAGAGATGCACAGGACAAACAATCATGCACACACACACACTCACACCTAAGGGCAATTTAGACCAATTAACCTTACAGTCATGTTTTTGGACTTTGGGAGGAAGCCAGAGTACCCGGAGAGAACCCACGCATGCACAGGGAGAACATGCTAACTCCATGCAGAAAGATCCCAGGCTGGGAAGCGAACCCAGGACCTTCTTGCTGCAAGGCAACAGCTCTAACCACTGCACAGCCCTAGCACAGGGTCATGTGTTGGAAATGTAGATAATGTTTTACATAATTCTGAAAGTCTTCCTTGTTTGACACGGGTTGTGCAGCGCCACACAACATGAATAACAAATTGATACACAGCTATAGATAACTTTTCTCCGGAACCCATCGGAAGTTTTAACTCGTTCTGAAGTGAAAACAGGTTTCATTTCTCGTTGTTGAGAACTTTTGTCCTTTGGGTTTTTGACATGACAACAGTTCATAGATGTTCGCAGGGACGATAAATAAGTGATGTAAAAGCAGCACAACTCACAAAAAACAACCCTGGTTTCATCGTTGATTAAGCCTCCAGTTGATTTGAAAAGATAAATAGCACAAATTTGTATATTACCGTATTTTACAGAGTATAAGCGCAGAACCGGACAGACTATGAAAAAAAGTGCGACTTATAGTCCGGAAAATACAGTATTTAGTCATTTGGTAACCCTTTAAGCTAACGTTAACCCAGTCCCAGACTCTCTAGTGGGACGATTTGCTGCTACTTTCTGTTTCTGCCACTGAAAAGGAAGAATGGTGGCGTTGTTTCTGTGTTACCACCTTGCACGGTGTAGCCCTGTATTTAAAAAGCAAGTCACCCCTTACAAGAAGCGTACTTCACTCCCACTTCATGTTTGAAAAATGCAACAAATGCTGTTGCCTAGCAAACCGAGAGGGTGGAGCCACTAACAAATACACACACTCACGACATTGTGACATCATAATGTACCAGTTTACATCATAGCATACCTCTTAGCCAATAGAGGTGGCAGATTTAAATTCAAATGAGGTGAAGAGTTTTTACCTGACAACGGCACAACACTGACAGTTTCAGGCAGAAAATTTAAATTTTAATTAAATGCACTAAAGTGCAAAACTATTGACTACACATGTCTGCAGCACGATTAGACACACATTTATATAGTTTATCAGAAAAAATAGTTGATTTGGGGGTGACTTGCTCTTTAAGGCCACATCACAAGAACAACCAGCAGAAGAATCTGGGTGTTAATTTCCTGACAGAGCTGCAGTGGCATGTGCGGCTGTGATGCAGTGTTGTGCTATAGGACCAGGGCCGAGTCTGCGTTGAGGTCCCAGGCTCGGTCAGGCCAAAGGGAACAACATGGCTCTATTTGGACCGCCTGGACTCGTCATCAGTCTTGGGCTTCACTTGCACCGTCTATGTCACCACTACATTGTCACTTAGAGCCACTAGGCATCATATCCAAAATCCAGCAGAAACCTGTGGTGTTGTTTTGAAATATGGAAGCACATTTTCCTGGGAAAATTCTGGAGTGATGTCATGACAAGAGGTAGACAAAGCACTGTAGCTCCTAAGGTTTCACTGAATGTAAGGTAGTTGTCCAAGAGTTGTGGTGCTTGGTTAGCGTGCTGTAAGAAAGGATTTTGCCTGGGGTAGCGGCTAATATTGTTATTGATCAATCTAATTATTCTACTATCGGTAATTTTAAACCTCTCATTCAATCTATTTTTTTTTCATTAAGTCTGCTGTGGCCTCTAGTATAAATAAATCTCTTGTGAGTTGTTTTCTGTTTAAAAAAAAAGCTCTGGCGCTCCTGTTTTAGGGGTTAGAGATTGCCGGAAGAGAGGAGTGGAAAACGACAGATTTAGTAGTCTTACTTATTAATGTTCATGATGTGTATATGACTCACCTCTGATTGGTTAACAGCAGCATGACTATTCTGCTGCCTTTGCTGTGGAGTTGCTAACGGTTAACCTTTACCAGCCGAGATGCGGTATGCTCCCTTTTTCTTGTGGGCGGTTCCAAGCCGAGGTGGGCGGGTCCACAATTGCTAATATCCCCTGTGACATGGAGGAGACTGACTTGTGGTGACCTGATTGTTTTGTTGTCCGTTTCTTTCATGTGGCTAATGAAGACGATGGGTTTTGAAGAAATGTTCCGACCGATCGTATTTCAAGAAGACTTATCACACAGTTTCTTGGTGAACCAGACCTTTAATAAGCATATTCTTATTCCTGATTTGGGTTTTTTGTTTTTAATTGGACCAGTTTGTTTAACAAATGAAACAAGACCAGTATTGTGAAGTTATGTCTATTGCTTTATTTGGGTTTGTTAAGCAACAGGTAAAGATAGATTGCCAAGAAACCAGCATGCTTCACCTCCAGTGGGATAATTTTCACACAAACTTTCCTCACATTTAGTTTTATTTGCGCTTTAATAAGGACTTTTTTATTAGACAGCCATTTTAATGTTTTAAGCCTTGTAGTGTTAGTAAGCAGAAGCTCCTACACTAGTTTGGAATAACTGTTGACCCATAGAACAGAAAGCACAAACACAAGCGGCCGTCTATGCAAATGGAAACAAATGCCACAGCAGTGGCAACATTAGCCACTCAACAGTGTCCGTCAACTGAAGTGAACTCATTCAAATGAGCCTTGGCCCCTATTTTTCTATTTTCTTTCTGCTTCAGACATGTTGGACGACTTGCTTAATGTTCTCTTATAAAGTAATTCCTATTCAACTTGACACTGTTAGAAAACCGTTTTTATCTAAACGTGATCTTATTTTCTAATGACGCTCACTGTGGTTGAACCAACCGACTGCTGGTGGTACTGTAAATGTGGTGTTACGTTAAAAAAAAATGTCCTGGCAGCACCTTTCTAACGTCAGGGATCCTCTTGTGTGAAACAGTTTATGTCCTAGAAGTTTGATTCCGTTAGTTAAGCACTTGAGGATCCTTGTTTTGGGGCAAAGAGTGGCTCTGAGGGTCGATCCGGATTTGGAACCACGTTATGAAAGATGTACAGCCTTAAACACGTCACTTGCTCTCCATTTTTTTGCTCTGTTTTTAGGCTAAATTTGTCTGTACTCTATAACTGAAATAACCCATGAAAGTCAGGCCTTGTTGGGTCTGGTGACTGTTATTCAACTCTGACGTTCTCTTCAAGTCTAATAAACGAGGTGATCATCGTATACTAGTGGACTAACTGGTGGTTTGGTGAAGTTTTATGTAGGATTATTTTCCATTGATGAAGGACAAAGATCTCCTAACCTAAAGGATGACTCGTTTACCAGAAGATGTGAAACCAACAGGATTCTGATAAGATGAATTAGAAGAAGGCTGTATAATTGATTGAACTGACATTACATCACCAAATTTCACTTGATTTAACTAATTCTGAGCAGATTTTAGTTCCAGCAGAGCCAATAGAAAATTGGCATCATATGGCTGACACGGGGGGATGCAGACTGGGAAGTCCTAGGAAAGAGTTAAAAGAAGAAAAATCCTTGAGTTAAGGCAAATTCCCTCCTGGTGTTATTCTGTGTTATCAGTTCCTCTGTAGGGCACTGCAGCACACACTACATTTATTGAAAAGTCCAGTGTCACACGCTTCTGTGGAAAAGAGCCCTTAGGACCAGACTCCCCACCTCACTTTTCTCTGCCCCTTCTACCCTCAGCTTCTCATCCTCACTCCTTCAAACACCAGCCATCTCAGTCTGGTCCCTTTCTAGGACCTCAGGCCCTCCTATGTCTGTATAAACGTGGCAAGAACTGTGAATATTTTAACAAAGGAGTATAATTGGTGATGAGGAAATGGATGCAGGCCAGAAAGCCTAATTTTTTTTGTTTTGTTTTTGTTAATCATGATGCGTGATGAAGTCAGTGTATTTACTGTTTTGTGCTACACGCCAGCATATTAATATAGCTTTCTTTGAGACACTGCACCGGATCGGTGGATTTTCCTCCATGTTTTACTCAATCACCGGATCTGCCGAGAGGAGATCTCCCAGAGCATGTGATCATTTATCAGGCTTCTTCCCTCGTTCTTTGTCTGTCTGGTTCGCGGCTACTTTAACCCTCTCCCCAGCCAGCACTGAGTGCAGAGAGTCATGCGGTGGTGCCAGGGTAGAGGAGGAGCCCATCTGAAAGACGTGCTCACAGGAGAGTCGATGAAGAGCCTTCGCCCAATCATCTTCGTTGGGGCACACAGAGATTCCTGGGAAATGTTTCATAGTCATTGATGAGATGTGTTCTCCTTATAATGCTCTCCTTTGTCCAGGCAACAGGAAGTCATTTGGAGAAGTAAAACATGTAAAGTCACTTGATGATTGATGGATTTTGCAAAGCAGTAGAGTAGGTTTATGTATGCTTTAGGAGATTTAGCAAACAGTTTTCTAATTGGAAATGTGGCATAAAAAGGTTTTTGCATTTTTTTTATTTTAGAAAAATGACTAAGGACATCAAAGTGGATGTTTTCAAACCTCATTAAGCAAGTGAATGATGAACTTATGCGAACTCCGTCTATTGCCACTGACGAGGTTTAATTCAGAACACTCTTGTAGTTTATTGTTGGATTTCATGACTTTATGTTAGCCTTTCATTAATAAAAATGAATCTTCATAATTCATTTTCATTTGGACTTTTAAGAAAGCACTTTTGGTCAAGAGTTTCTGCAATAAACTGATGTTCCTAGAAACGTTCCTAGAAAGGCAATTGGAGTGTTCTAAAAGTATATGACATGCGGGTGATTTCAAAAGTAACAAAACTGAAACAAAAACATAGTCTGTTAAGACATCTTATATATGTGAATATTTAGTCTGGCCACAACCATAGACGGAGCTCAGTTGTGGGGTGGAATCTACAGTTGTCTTTCAAACCGTCTCTGCATGTTATTGGATACCAAACAGTGTGACATACTCGTCGCTACGGATCAGTTGACAGGGCAGTCCGCCATACTGTTGAAGAAGATGCAAATACGTTCTTTTTCTAAATAAAAGATTGAGTACCTCTATTTGCTCTTGATTCAAAGAAAAGCCCAAGTGTAAATAGACCAAAATAGATGCCAAAGCCATTTCAAACGAGCCGCTGCCATCTTTGTTTCGCTCAGTCAAATCATCCCACCCACCAAACCTATAAAGCGCTTTGATTGGCAAGGCGTGGGACTGCCGAGGCCTGCTGAGGCTCTAAATGAGCGTGGCTAGACTGACCTGAAATCAAAATCATTTATCTTCCGCTACGGTCTAATAAAAACATGCACAGTGACTAGATTGAATTGATTGTCTCACAAAGATTTTTTTCCCCAAAAATAAAAACACAACTAATAGGAATAAATAATGCAATAAATAACATTAGTTGTGTAGTGCAATAAGGAGCCTAAATCTCCTCCCTTTCAGGTCCACTCATGGGTCCTGGAAGAACATAAAAAAAAATGAATGCAAGTCATCGGGGCTAAAAGAGCTATTTTCTAATCCACTTTGCCTTATGCCCTGAATCGCACATATGTTGTACTTCAGTTTAAAATGATGTGTTTTGACCACGCCAGTCAAGTACTTTAAAAATAATCAGCCTGCAAAAACTCACTGTAATTACAGTGACTACAATTCAGGCATCATCACGTCGCATATATGATGTGTCACCACAGCCCTAGCGTAGCTACTACTTCATGGCCAGATTTCTGTTGGTTCTTTCCTCCTGAAGGAAGGTGCCGAAGTTTACTGAACTAGGAGCCATTTTTCCTCTGCTCTTCTCCGTGTCTGGTTCAATGACACGTTCAATTTGGTGATACACATTTGTAGTCTTGGATGTATTTTCACACACAACCTAAAATTACTTTTCCCTGTTCAAAAATAAGCGCTTTCTTGGTATCAAAATGCACCTTTAAAATTCAGACATCATATGTGAAATCCATGGAAAATAACTAATGGGGTTAGAAAATAGTGTTTTTAGCCCCATTGACTTGCATTCATTTGTTTTTGTTTTTTTGTTCTTCTGGGGACCCGATGTTCGAAAGAAGATGGGCGTGACTCAGTGCCAGTTTCACACTGGAAGCGGTGCAGAGCGGTTTACTCGCGAACTTCAACGCGGTCCTTTTTGCACCGGTAGAGTCTTGCCAGCGGCACGGCTTCCTTGCTGTGCTCTTCGCTGGACTCGCGAAATTACAAGATCACTCGAGACTTCAGGTCACGGTTTGTTTATGCAATTTATCATTCACTTGCTTAATCAGGTTTGTGCTCTTTCTCGACCACTTCATCTTTGTGAATGGGTGATTCTTGTGAGTGACGAGCTCTCCTCGTCCTCTGTTTTTTTTTTTTTTTTTGCGTAAACCGCACTCTCATGCCCTCTAGTGGCACTATTAAAGCAATTGCTGTTGCTGTGGGGAATTTACTTCCTGATTCCCAGTGTGCTTAGAGGCATGTAGGTGTGGTGTAGCTGAACCGTGAGTGAGAGGGAACCGTCTGTTCTTGATCCAACTCATGAACAGGCATGGAAACTGTTCTGTTGTTCTTTACTCCTGTCAGTACCGCCTCAACGCATTTAACTGCAACCTTATAACACAAACATATTTGAATGAAGTGAACACCAATTAACCGGGTAACATTATCGTAACCAGATATAACTTTTATGGCAGTTAATCGGTTAACTGTGGACATCCCTAGCATCTGTGCCCTTGGATTTCTGGGTACAACTTTACAGCTGATAAGAAATGCAGGTAAAGGTGTAATTTACACTCATGATTAGTAAACTCCGGTTCATATTGCTCAGTCAGTTGAAGTGGTGCATGATGGCAACAATTGCTGTCTGTGGGCAAGAGTTTAGTTGCCTTCTAAGTGAAGAGTGGTGTGATGTGAAGCTAAAACCTCAGATCTGCAGGCAGATAATCTGCAGTTTTAACGCTTAACACAATTAAATGATGATGCTTTAAACCAGTCTGTTCAAATGAAATATAAGTACAATGTAACTAGTCATGATAGGTTCCTTTTGCTTAACAACAATGAAAGAAATGTCCTGCATGTGTGACTTTGTGTGCAAGTCTCATCACGATGTAGCAACCTGCTGTCATTTCCATGTGATTCACAGAACGATCTCGCAGAAAGACACATCGTTCCGTTATGGTGTTTATAAAAGCAGCATCATGGTAATGGATTCTTCATCTGATGCTGGATCAGTTCTGAGATTGTTCCCAATATCAAATGCACCAAAAGACCTGATTGAATGAACTTTTCATCTCATTTCTCATCTTCCTCCAACTACGAACAGTTCTTGAACAGCTTTGGCAAAACAAATAGGTTTGACTAGCGGTTAGCAACGTTTATCATACCACTTGAATTTTTTAATTAAAGACATCTGTTTAGACCTTAATTTTGTTAGAAATGGGTGAAAGGGTATGTGAATGGATGAGTGATTCACTGTAATGTGAAGTGCTTTGGAGTAAAAATTGGGTCTAAAATACATGGGAGCAAGTCTAAGTCTCTGGGCGACACCATAATAGACACTAGGGGTTGTATTAACTTGTCGGCTTCACTGCTCTGTAGTGACTTTTTATGCCTTTTGTAGACTAGTCGCTTTCACGTGATAATGACCAACAAGATGCAGTCCTCGGAAAAGACAGCAGGTGATGAGGCCACGACGCGCTGTGCTAGAGCGTCGGTATCTGACGCCCGCGGTAAAACGGACATTTGAACGAATTTTGACCTTTACCCTTTTGCAATCTAACCTCCCCCTCACCCCCATCCTAACCTTAACCAGCTTGCGCATGCAAAGCTCTGATTGTTGATGCGCTCCAGACATCTGCGTCCTGAGCACAGCCACAGTAACGTTATCAAATTAAGTGTCGCCACCTCAAAAACAAATTGAACACGCAATTGTTTATGTTGGCTCATTTCCTTTTATGTTTTCTGACTTTTATTTGTGCCTGATGTGTTTCGCTGCTGTGGAGCGGAGCGCATCACCTGTTTCGTCGTCCGGTGATTTCACTTCATTGGTGCGGCCGGCGCGCAGCGCGCATTCCGCTGTTTTTGCGGTCGGTAGATCTTTTAGAACTGCAGTTCAAAGGTAACTCATAAGGTGAATATATATGAACCCAGGTAGCAGTTTTTCTTTAGGATTGAGAGGAGATCCAGGAAGATAATAAACAGACAGGACAGAAAAATAGTCAAATAAAAACAAGTTAGTTTTTGTACCTGGTGGTTGCAACAAACAGACACCATTGAAGGTAATCAGAAGTGAGGAACAGAAAATGAAATAATTATTTAAATGTTTAGAGCAGCAGGAACTCTGAGAGGCTGCAGGCATACCAGTGAGTTTGTGGCCACTGCGCAGGGGGAGGGCTGAAACAAGATGCAGAAACTACCGTTGTTAAAAGAAATGTGTTTAACTTAGAACATGTGGGCGCAATTTTAATTGTCAAAAACTCCAGCGAACCAACCCGCTTCAGTTGTATGACGTCATCAACGACTAGTCACAGTCGACTCGATTTTCATTACTTGACTGTCTACTTTAAAAAAAATAAGTCATGCAGCCCCTATTAGACACAATGTTTCCTTCTACGGGAGTCCACATGGACAAACCACATTTGCTGATTCGTAACAAGCGGTTAAAAAACTTTTTACACATTTACCTCTTTGCTCATTGGCAGTGATTAAAGGGAGTCTGGAGTGCTTGTCATTTTGCTGGAGGTTGAACGATCTGACCGAAGAAGTCTTTCGAAAATCGCGCTTCCAGGGATTTTTGACCCTAATGGCCATCTGTTGGTATGGTCTTGCTTGAACACAAAAATAATGTTTGCCGATGTTTCCCCCCCCCCCCCCTTTTTTTTTAGGAATTCTTTGATCATGCAAAGAAGCTGTGGGACGATGAAGGAGTGAAGGCATGCTTTGAGAGGTCCAATGAATACCAGCTCATCGACTGCGCACAATAGTAAGTTTTAAGTTAAAATACTGTGTGTGTGTGTGTGTGTGTGTGTGTGTCACCTTGAGCCTCTGTGAGCTCCTGCTCTATGAACTTTGTTGTTTGTGCTGTTATAAAACCCAGAAAGTTGGATAAGTCGGGTCTGTTTTCTAACCTTTGCTGGCTGGAAGCTCCAGTTGTACCCTTGTTTGTCTTCTTCACGTCCTGTTTGAGGTTAAGTCTACGCTGTGTGCACTGGTGTCAGGTCATATATGGCTGGGATGTGTTTGCTCTGGGTGTGGCAAGTCAGACAACAATTGTAGTCATCCTTTGGAAAATTATTCATATATCTCCCCATGTCAGCGTGTTTGACACATCTCCATGGCAATATGCAAAGCTTGGCACGACCTGTACTAAAAGCATTGAGCTAATTCAAAATGCCATAGCAGTGAAACGGTCAGCGGTAAACAACATTACAATGTTAAAATCCTATTCTTGAGCTGACAGGGGTTTTCCAGCTTTATTTTTTAGAATGATGCTGGTGTTTACTGTGCTGCTTTGGCTGGGAAACAAATTAAGTAAATCGTGATTTTACTTTGACCATCATTGTTAAGTTATCTTGGTACCTTAGATGTTGTAGTTGGGGAACACTGCTATGATAACTGCAGTGAACCAAGGGGCCCCAGACTGGAAGTCTCGTACAGTACATTGGACACAGTGAAGGGCCCTTCTTTTGACTGTAAAAGGAAGTTTGGACATGTAAAGTGACTCACTGATTACAGCTCTCTCCTCCTGCTCCCCCTCTTATTTCACATGTAAATAAGTAGACATGTACATGGAGCAGTCCCATTGGAAGTTGACCCCTCCTATCCCCTAAGGTTGGGCTCTTTTATCTCCAAAGGGTTTGGTCAAGGACGCAGTCTTTTTCTTAATTGAGTTTTTAATCTTCCTACATTTTCTCTCTCTAAAAAACCTAAACCTTTTACTAAATAATGCATTTTTTGTCTAATCCTCTCTGGTTGTAGTGCCTGTTAGCTGCTGCCATAGAAAAGCAAGTTGAGCGAAGTCAGGTGATGTTAGAAAGTCACATGAATCTGTAAGGTGGAGTTGAAACAATCCATGGCCTGTGTTTGTCTCTCTTTACTCCTAAGTCTGTGTCAGAGTACAATCTGAGTTTTAAAAAACACAGATTGGATTAATTTCAGTCGGTATTCCAGTATCTCAGTGACATCATATAATTTTCTACTGTTGTAAAAATTTCAAATCTTTATCACTTCTTTTTTACAACACTGTAAAAGCAGTGCCTTTCTGGATGTTGAAATCCGAAGGAGTATTCTGCATTGCAACTCAAATCATTACTATCAGTGTGAGCTGGAGCACTGATAATACGGCTGTCCTGTGACATGAGCAAACATTAACAGAGCAGAACAAAGACAATGAATGAAGGCCTCATTGTGAGTGTTCAGGTGTGCACACTGTTTATTTTAATGTAGTTGTTCTGTTTTCTGTCCTACGTCTGCTCTAGGAAAGCCAAAATCCTCCCAAATGACTGATGCTTCAGTCTCTCTTTTCCCCCTGAGATTCCTTATATTATTCATACTAAATTAAATGGTAAAACATTTGGTTATAACTGCCTATTAGATTGCTGCTCATAAGAAGCACAAGTGTTTGACCATCAATTTAATTTAAATATGAATAATAGTTTACAACTTGGACATTTTGGTTCCAAATTGAGGTTAGATTGGAGTTTAAATTCCTCCAGTAGTCAGTTTTCTTGTTTTTTTAGAAAGTGTGGGGGAAAATCTTTATCTACATTTATTTGCAATCAGTCTGGCATCAGTTAAAAAGGCCCAGTGACTAAATACCTGCTTCTCCTATGTGTTTAGACTGAAGTCTGGAAATCATCAGACAACACAACCTTTCCACCTGCTTCCTCTTTCTAATTTAACTTGAACTTACTCTGTGAATGAAGGGCATTAACAGATACTCTGTCCCACCTGGCAGCAGACCGGTCTGTGTGTAAAGCCTCACATAGAAGCCTATTGTTAGTGATACACTCACTCACTCTAACTGGAAGCACCGATAGATGAGTTGAGCTGCCAAATAGGTTCAAAGGAAGGGAGCAAAGTTCACCACGTTGATCGCTGGTTGTGTTAAAGCAAGCAAAAGCATTGTTTTGTTTCTATGGGAGTTAAGTTATTTCTTTAGTTCTTGCTACTATTTGGTTAATCTTACATTTAGAGCAAGGTGCATTAATTTTATTTTTGATTATTGTCTTTCTTAGTTTTGATTTGTTTGAATCTATTGATGACTTATTTCCATTTATAAAGCTGGCTTTTTTAAAGATTGTGAATGTGATAGGACTGCTTTCAGTCACTGAGTGAATTAAAGCGGATCTGACCTACATAAATGGGGGTGTATAGGAGGAACGGACTGGTAGTCATAGCCTTACGTGCTAACAGTCGGATATTTTGTAGTAAAAACTCAAAAAGCAATGGCATTCTGCGAAAACGTTAAATGAGTCCGAAGTTTTAGACGAGGATGATTTCATAAAGATAAATTCAAAGTGTTTTATCTTTTGTGCACATTCTCAAAATCAGCTATTTTGATAGTGATGTGATTATTAACCAGTTATACCAAACAAGTGCTCAGATATAATCATTAACTGAAACAGAATCAGCTGTGTAGGAGGCTTGCTTGAAAGTGAGCGAGGAACGACCAGATCAAACCTACGTGAAGTTGTAGAAGGTTTCATGTCACAGATCAAACACCACAGAGGCTCTAGGTAGATACACTGCAGGAGTGAGGTCTCTTCCAGACAAAAATTCAAGATCTTAGAAGGAGCAGAAAGAAGTGCAGTGATGAGAACTGTATAGATGCTGAAGAGTTGGCTGAAGAATCATCTTCTTGTTTGTCTATGGCAGAAGGCGGTTTGTTTGTGGATGGTTGGGAGAGGAGGACAGTGTCTGTGTGTTTTCTGCATGTTTAAAGAGACAATGTGTAGTTTGTCTGGAAACATCCATTAAAATGTTGTTGAGAATGAATGATATGATGCCCAGTTGTTGAAAAATATTGACGGCTTCATAACGTATAACCATAAAAATAAGGTCTAAAATACATGGGGGCGGGTCTAAGTCTCTGGGCAACGCCATATTTGTTGCCATGTTTCCTTCCACGGGAGCCTGTGAGGACAAATGCATTTACTGATTTGTAACAAACAGTTACAAAACTTTCATCATTCTTAAATGTTGATGTTTTACACATTTACCTCCTAAATTGTTGCCAGTGATGAAAGGGAGTCTGATGTGCTCGTTACTTTGCTAAAGTTTGCACCCCCCAGGGCCTTTTTGACCCTAATGGACATCCGTTGGTAAGGCTTTACTCCAACACAAAAATACTGCTTGCTTTTAACGATTTAGGTATCTACTGCCCCCATTGCCAGGAAAAAGACACACTGTCACTTTAATGCTGCATTTCTGCATGTTGAGAATTTGGTCTGAATCACGTCAGTGCTAGAAAACACAAGCAGATATTATCCATCATGTAGTCTTAGTGATATGGTTGATTGTGCCTAAATTTACTCTACAGCAGGTCAACAACCTCAAAGACAGCAAACATTATTATAAACCAAGTTCAGCATAAAAGAGAACAAGGAGACGAGGAGGTGGTGGTAGGTCCGGCAGTGGTAGCAAACTGCTGTTTCTGAAATTATTTTGAGGGAGAGGAACTGGAGCCATCCTTCATCCATAGAAGATCCATAGGTTAGCTCTGCAACTTACCTGCCAAGTTCCTCCAAAAACCGTGTTTCAAGTAAAAGAAGGCAAAGGCTGGTCTCACCCATACTACATTTTCTTTTCTCATTCACTGAACTACATTAATTGCTTAAAAATTACCATAAATAAATATATTTGTGAAAACCTTCTTCAAGCACAGCTTTTTTCCACACTAGCCTTGGGATTTTTATGCTGCGCCTGTAGCCCATATTTAGATTTAGTTAAAACAGACATTTTACTTCTGCTGCTTCATCTGTGTTGCCCTTCACAGACCTTGCTCCACTGCAGATATTTTTCCAGCAGGCTAGCTGGCCCATTGGACACAAGCACAGGAAATAAGTACAGGCCGATGGCGAGAGCTTGTTATGCCAAAGAGCATGTCCATATATATCGATGCTTTCGGAATCCTGTCACCCATCGATCCGCCCTCTGCATTGCACATTTATACGTTTTAAGAACACAGATATGTGTCTGCCAGTTGATTGATTATGAGCTATTTTCAGCTGTGGCTGGCTAGTTCCATTGCTGTGCCTTGGATGTGTGAACGGCAAAATCAAACACGTAAATCTGACCTCCCAAGCCTAGTCCCAGGAAACTCCGTGGTGTACGTGTGCCTATGGAGTGATGGCTAGGAAGCTGCTCTTGATGGTCGTAGTGCTGGAGTCAAAGAACGTTACTGAACAAACAAGGCTATGAAACAGCTGAGTGACACTCAACTGTGGTTTATTCTCGCAGCCAAATGAGGCCCGGGACAAAGATAGAGTTGATGCTGGGTCAGATACGGGGTACACTTGGGTTGGAGCTCTTTTTAGATCAACTCTTCAAAACTAATTTAGGAAATTCTGATTGTATAATAAGAATTGTACATCACATCATAGACCATACTGATTAACATCAACCTTTAGAAGGTCATTGCAGTTACCAAATTAGTTCATTTGCTTTGCTTAATGCATGAAACTTTTTCATACATGTATAACATTAGTAGGTTTGGGCCTGTAATCATATTACCCTACTTTAATCACGCCGCATAGCCAAAATAACTTTAAACAGTCATTTCCCTAGCTGATTTCCATAAGTTTGTTTGGAAATTTTACACAGTGTTCTTTTGTTTAAAGAATGTAACCATTTATTATCATTTCAAGAATACGGTTGGCAACAGATGATAAAACTGATGGAGTGTCTAAGCATCCTTAATGTTGTTGCACACTGCTTCCAGTTTTTAGATGTTAGGAGCTTCCTCTATCTGTACAAAAATAC